GGTTTGTGAACTGTATTATATGAGGTGTATAATGTTAAGTACAAGATTATATGATAAAATAGATTAATTATAATAAAATATGATAATGATAGGAATGTTAATGATGATATATGTGCATGCATGTATTTGTTATATAAAAGGTTATATGTTTTTGCATGATATTATTGTTTGAAATGTTTTGTATTATTGTATATTTAAGTTTCCATTATGTGTTTTATATGCCTCACTAAGTCATTGACTTAGCGTATAAATGTTTCACACGTAGGTTCTGAGAAGATTAGAGAGCAAAGATAAGCAAGTCAGGTCAGCATCTCTTTTCCAAAGATCATATCAGAAAAGAATGTAATTATAAGTATTTTGTTTTAGTAAAGGTAGTTGGCATGTAATTAAAGATTTGAATAAGATATGCTCTGATCATTTTGTAAAATCATATGATTGTAATTAATGTAAATTATTAAATTTTCTTGAATTGTGAATTTGAATTTTCAACTATCTGGTAAGAGTAAACATTTTTGAAAAGTCAATGTGACACCTCTAATTCGTATATGGGTCAGGTACGGGTTGGGGGTGTTACATGTATACAATGGAGGGTTACGTTGTGTTGAGTGATAACGATATAAACCAGGGCGTGAACGAGTAGAGGTGTTTTGTTGAAAATTTGTCCAAGGAATTCTAAGACCTAGTGTTCTTGCCTAGCAACGAGGGCATTGATAGGTCAATGGTGGAGATTGTCACATACCGCACTTCAGGGTTTAAGACTTTGTAACTATTACTCAGAAAAGGGGGTTCTATATACACAGATTTGGGATTGTCATAGGCCAAGCTTACTTTGGCCAGTTTTTGGAGAATGCTTACGAGTCGGGGAAAGATCATTTCCAAGGGTGCTTAGGAGAAGCGACGAGGTTAATACATGTTCGATGGGGGCAAATTTGTCAAGGCTCGTGGATTTGGACTGAGACATGTGCACGGATTTTTGTAGAAGAGTTATGCGGTGTATTGGGCTTGCCCAAAACTATTAGACTTGGTATGCTCTTTGGAAGATTCCACAATGGATAAAGTTATCTTTTAATTTAAGTAGATAAATACTTAATTAAAGAGATAATGTTGTTTGAATTCAAATTTCTTAAGATAAAGTTTTGATAGGATTGGATTCAATGTAAGCCGTTGATGTACTTTGATATAGACCATTGGTTTTTGAGGGCTTCAACTATAAATAGAGATCTCCTCCTCTTATTTGTAATCATCCATAAGAAATATTCTCTTGAGAGAGTAATAAAACTCAAACATTTACTCTTGAATTATTCTTTATTCCCTTGTAGCCTTTGTTTATAGTTTTCTAGCCTTTATGGCTTTGTTACTTAAGCTTGTTGGCTTGCTTTCTCTTAGTGCTTAAGTTTTTGTGGCTTGTGTTGCCGATCGTGAAGACCGAGTAGTCTCGAGAGTGATTTACTTTCCCATAGTTCTTTTAGAGTTCCAAAGTGGGTTAAGTCTTTGTGACTTAGAGAGTTTCGACAGTGCTTGTGCTTCCTAGAGTTGTTCAACCTTGGTGGCTTGGATTAACCCCATTGGTATTTAGTTTTCGTAGCATTGGTGTAACCCTAGAGGGTTAGTATGTCGCTTGGTGAGCACGAGACTCACAAGGACGTAGTGAAAGCTCACTTAGGCTCTCTTTTAAATTAGAAACCGTTTAAGTGTCGCACGAATCAGCTAGCAGAAGTCTAGCCCCATGACAATATATATATATATATATATATATATATATATATATATATATATATATATTATATTATATATACTTTATACTTTTTATTTTTTATTAATTTATACTATATATATATATATACACACACTTTATAGTTTATATACTTTATAGTTTATATAGTACATAGAATATATACTTATAAGTATAATGTATACTTATATGTATACTTATGTAAGTATATACTTATAATGAATGCATAAATATAAATATATATTTATTAATTCTAGTCTTTTCACTTAAGTTATTGCTCGTCTAAACAAAGTATGCACTGCATTTTTAGTTCCATTTAGTTACATATAGGTTGTGGTGGATAAGTTTTGCCTAAGCAATATTTATTTGGCTTAACTGATGCTGCTGAGGAGAAGGGTTGTTTGAGTTGTGTTTGTGTAGGAATTATACAGAGGAAGAACATTTTAGTCGTGACAATGAAAAGTTACAAAGGCCAAGAGATATGAGAACGTGAGGAGTAGATTTATCTCGCCGAGGCAAGATTTATCTAAAGAAGTCTGAAGCAAATGTGGCGAAAATGCCTATGTCACATGCCAGCTGCATGATCTGCTTCACGTGCAAGCAAGCCTTGAATATCCTGACAACAACCAACTGTCTTTCCTTTTTAAGTTTGGGAAATTAATAACGGCTAATTAAGAAAACTCCAAAAGCATGCAAAGCCCTAAGAGATTCTCCTTATAATTACCAGTCGTAGCCGCAAAAAGAAAAGGGCAAGGAAGAAGAAAGAAGAGCTTTACCTTAGGCGTGAGCAAGCAACTGCAGTGCTTTCCCTCCGTCTACCCCCCAGTCTTCCTTGGTGTCCTCCATAGCCAGACGATAGCAAAGCAGTGATCAAGCCTCGAGAGAGGGTGATCACCAAGGCAGGCGTGGTGCTGATCAGGATTGTCGCGACAGAGCCCCATGTTTTGGGAGTCGTTCTTCCTTTGTTCTTAAACTCTTATTTTATTTGGGTTATATTAAACGGTTTAATCTTGGATGATCTTTGATAACACCATGAATGCTTTACTTGGTGTTAAACTTTGTTTTGCTGAACAATATTTTATGTTTATGAATGATGAATTATGTTTGCTTATGATTGTTTTGCTCATAGTTTAAATATTTTTCCTTAACACTGTAAGAGCATCGAGAGATTGCCTGGGGTTTCGGTAAAACATGTCTAGACATTGTAAGAGCATCGAGAGATAGCCTTTTTTCTAGAAAGTGATTCTTGAATTCGAGAGAATTAAGAGAGATCAACGTGAGCAAAGGAATGAATCCGGGATGGTGAAGTTCTAACTTGTCTAATTTAGAGATAAGGAGTGAGTTTCAAACGACTAAAAGGGATAAAGGCTAGATTAGGTTAAGACAACGTCTATAGTTAACACCGAGAGGTATTGCCATAGCAACCGTTTAAGAATACCTAGTAATCCTGTTGGGCAGTTTAGTGAGTCATAATAATTCATTATGGGCTTAAAATAATTGTTGTCGAGACAATGATTTAGCATCAGTACTCTATGACACGTCTGAATATGTGAGGTTGTTTGCATTATATTTAATCCAATACTTGTTTTGATTTGTTTATATGTCTGCATATTTTCTTTGTCTCGACCACACTTGTCTGAAATCATTGAATCATTATTCTTAGCTCCTTAATATTAGTTCTTAGCTTTAATACTTAGTAGGATTAATTTGTGGCATTAGTTCTAGTTATGGTGAAAAGATATTTCTAATACAATCCCTGTGGAGACGATACTCACTACTATATTACTTGCATCGATTGTGTATACTTGCATAGATTAGCTTGGCTTAGCATATACATTCACAAGCGATCAATATACATGCATTATATTATCATAACATTCAATATATATATATATATTACAAGTATAATATATATCATATTATTATAACATTCATCATACATATTATATTATTATATACTATATATATTATGATTATTTTTAATTTTTCCTCAACTTTTGAAATGAATGTAATTTAGTCCATTTTACAATTTTTCTTCACATTTATAATTATTTCGATTTGATCTCTCAATGTTGTTTAATTTATTTAAAATTTAATTTATAATTTCATATTTGTTCATTTAGCCTTAAAATTATTGTATATGAAATTGTCCCATACTTATTTTAATTTACTCCAAACCCTATAAATCACATAATAACTTTCATTTCAAATTCTATAAATTATATCATAATCTCCAAACCCTATAAACTTTTGTTCACTAACCTTTAAAATGAATGCAATTTAGTCCATTTTTATATTAATTTCAACTTCACATTTTATAATTATTTTGATTTGATCCCTCGTCCATGTGTGATGTTTAATTTATTTAAATTTTTGCTTGTAATTTCATGTTTGTTCAATTTAATCCTTAAAATTATATTTTTAGCGAAATTGATCCATAATTATTTATATTTTTTTGTAATTTACTCTAAATCATATACAATTACAAATTACAATTCGATGTTCATAAAAGGTAAAAAAAATCCAAAAATGACCTGACCTGAAGTTAATTTGTCAATGATGTGACCGATCTGAACGACATCTGACTGAAGTCCATCTGAACCTGAATTAACCTGGTATTAACTACTTTGGACATGAGAGGTTTTGACCTGAACTGACATTGATCCGAACTGAAATTAACCCGACCTGAATCCAAACTAAAAATGATGTCAAATCAACCTGAAAATGATCCAAACTTATTTGACCTAGACTCGACTTGATCTGAGTCAAACTATTAAATTGACTTGATACAACATGTATTCAATTGATCTGATTGAAACGTGAATGATTACCTAACTTCACATCCCTACTCCTTTGCAATCGTATGGGCAACTCTTTTATCCATAAAAGAAGGTACACATCAGCCTAATATAGTGAAAATCATGGATTGTTAATAAAAAATGAAAACCATAAGTACTAAATTGAGAATTTTTACCTCATAAAAAAATATGGTCCAAGCACCAAAACTGCATTTTACCCTAAAGAACACAAATCCATTCGGGCAAACCCAGAGGAAAAAAAAGCTCGATTGTCGAAGTAACGAAAAGCATGGATATTTGCCCAAAACGAATGGATAAGCCCCGATCAACATATACATAAAAAGGCCATATCGGCCCACGTGTTGTCCCCCCCCCCCCCCGCCAAATTCAAAATGTTGATATATTAAACGTCTTATCACCGTCACCATCGTCATCTTAATTTTTCTCGTCCATGCTATTATAACAAAATTCAGAGCTTTTCATTGAATTTCTGACCCTTTTATTTTGAAGTGAATTGGCGATGAGTTTTCGGGAAGACAATGAAGAATGCCGGGATCTCAAGAAGCCCTTTTGCATACCGGAAGTTGGTATCGGATGAGTTCCAGGCAGTCCAGTTTAATGGATCTTCTGCCCAAGTCCTTCGCGATGGATCAATTTCCGTTGTCCTCTGTCCTAATCGTCGCCTTGGGCCCTATCCAATTTGGCTTCACCGTATAATAATTTCCCACCCCTCGTCTCAATCTCATCTTTGGTCTTTGCCCTTTTTCTAATTTCATTTTCAGCTATAATTATTATTCTTTTTCTTTTAAATTTGGCTATATAGTGTGGATACTCTTCTCCTACTCAAGCTCAAATTATCAGTCATCTTACTCATACGATTTCAGAGGTATGAATTGGGATCACCCAATTTTCATTTTAAATTAAATTGTTTTTTTTCTGTTTTGCTTTTTCACTAAATCAGTCCTTGTTTGTTCTTATTTTTGGGGCAGTTTTCAAATTTTTGGTTCCTTGTCAAATGTGGGAGCAATGGTTGGGGCAATAGCCAGTGGTCAGATTGCTGAATATTGGCCGAAATGGGTAACTTATTCCTTCGTAATTTCTCTTATTTACCTTTGTTTAATGTTTACTTTGAGCTTAGAGCTGAGTAATTATAAATTTAATTCCTTAATCTTCCAAATTTATACGTATTTACACTGTATTGGATCAAATATGAATATTTTTTCCAGTTTAACAATTTAATGTTACATTTGTTGTGTTAAATCTGCAGTCGTTAATGATTGCTGCTATTCCTAACATTATAGGATGGCTGGCCATCATTTGCCAACTCAGTGGATTTTGGTACTTTGTACTTCTCATTGTGCCTCATTTGCAAAGCTTGTTGCTAACTTTCTAAGCATTGGGCATTTGTAGGATTATTGATTTTTATTTATGGGAAGGTTGTTAGAAGGGTTTGGTGTCGGTATTATCTCCACCATGATTATAATTATGTTTAGGTGCCTGCATATATAGCTGAGATAGCACCCCTAAACATGAGAGGAAGCCTTGGATCTGTGAATCAGGTTTGTTCTACATTAGCATCCATTTTGGTATCCCATATTTACTTCTATCAAACTGATTAGTAAAGTAAACTCTTTTATTGGATAGCTATCGGTTACTTTTGGAATAATGCTGACGTATCTGTTGGGACTTGGGACTGTTTACAAATTGGAGAGTACTTGCAGTAGACAAGTGTGTTGAATTTTGTTCACTTAGCCCCTCTTTCCTGAAGAGAATCACCGACTGATGTTGGGGAGAAAATGTCCAAACATTTTTATTACTTGAACAAACTCAAAAAATGTAATGATGTCATATTGTGCATGGCTGCATGCATGTGAGTACTAGTTGAATTTAACTGAGATTTTTTTTCTAGAAAATTAATATTTTTGTGATAATCTCTTCCCAATGAAAATATAGTGTTTTGTATTTAATAGATGGCTAGTAGGGTTAAAGATACTCTTGTGTCTCGTGATAATGTAGCCATGGCATTATTTTCGTATGCATCTATGCTTCTATTGAAGATAATCTATGGTCATTGTTTATCAATAATCACTCAAATTTGTTATTGAATGTACAGTTATCGCTAACAGACTTCGGTGCTCTTTCTTTATATGAATATTACCATGTACAATATTGATACCTGGCCTATTTTTCATACCAGAGTCTCCTCGACGTCTGGTAAGAAACATGTACTTGCAATCATTTCTGTGGACCTTTTATAACTTTTTTTCTTTTCCGCTTTTCTTATATAGTTTTGTTTATTATGTTTTTGTGACAGGGTTGTGTCCAGGCAAAAATGGGAATGATGGAAGATTTTGAATCCTCTCTGCAAGTTTTGCACAGCTTTGATACAGATATTTCTGTTGAAGTCAATGAAATTAAGGTTTTGATCTGAATCACTGCAATCTCTCTTCTAGTTTCAACTAAGGCATACATTGTGGATTGAATACAAAACTAAGTTGGTACACAAAAGCTTTAGGTGTTGAGCATGAGGTTGTGTCTTAAGGGCATCTTTTTCTATTATCCTTACAAAGTTAAGCTTTAATGGGCATCTCTGCAGAGATCTGTGGCATCATCAAGCAAGAGAGCAACAATTCGTTTTACAGATCTCAAGCGCAAAAGATATTAGTATCCTTTAACAGTATATTCTTTGTTTTTTATACATTTTTTTATTTCATTTATAGTATTTCTTTCCTTTGCCCTAAAAAATGTTGATTACTGGTTCTTCAATAACTAAGTGGTATCAATGGTGTTTTATTCTATGCCAGTAATATCTTTGAAAGTGCTAGTTAGAACAACATTTCTTTGATGTTTAACGATGATTTTATATTAATTGAATCTTTAGATGGAGAATAAATAAATTCTCTTATAAGTGGAAACTTTGCCTTGCATGAACCTCATTACCTCATTTTGGATAGCATGCATTATCAAATTCAAATTTGGCAAGACAATCATTCAAAATGTATGTAGTGGATGTGCCAAATTCAGCAGGAAAGAATGCGTTTGCTGTCTGTTGGACATTTGCTAATGTTCTCTTTATACATCTTGTTGATATTGTTTAATCTTAAGAATATGAGGGGCACTTGTTAACCAGTGATTGTACAAAATTAACAAAATATGAATCCCCAATTTCATCTCAAGGTTCTTATTTTAAGATTGCAACAGTTCTGGTTTCATTTATTATTCCTTATGATTCACTAATTTGACAGTGCAATAAAATTGTTTAGGGGTTTCATCTAGTAATGTTGCTACATTTGGGCTTGGGGCCATTCAGGTAAGTAGGCACTTCTATTTTGTCATGCAGGAGATCATATTATTGGGAAGTTCTATTCTGATCGATCTAATAGGTGTTATTATGTGTGGGTTGTTGCGACTGGTGTGACTACATGGTTGGTGAACAGAACTGGCCGCAGGGTTCTTCTTATGGTGTGTTTGAACTACCTTTCATTCTATATTTGCTACTGAGCTATGGTTAAGATAGAAATGATAAGATCAATTATCATAAATGATTTTGCTGGTATCCTCATCTGGAATGACTCTGAGTCTGCTCATTGTGTAGTTGCATTTTTGTTGAGGTTGGTGATGTTAGGTCCATTTATTCTAATTTATCTTCCATTTTTTTAAAATGCCACCATCAATAATTTAGCAATCCCACTTGATAAATTCTTTCTTAATTATTTTACTACTGCTTCTTGATACCTTCTTCTCTTATTCTCTTCACTGATACCAGAAATTGTTGCTGAAGATTCTGACTTATATAACATAATGGGAGTACTTTCACTGGTTGGCCTTGTGGTAAGATTTCTCACTCGTAGTGGGGTTTGTGTATGAATGTAATATATATGTACATAAATGACTATATTACTCTACTTCTGTCAAGTAGATTTGCCTTCTCACTGGGAATTGGAGCAATTCCATGGGTTATAATGTCCGAGGTATTCAAATTTCTCTTATAGTTCCTTACATAAACAGGAAACATTCTAATTTCCCATTATAGGATTATATATGAAATACTACTCGATAGTGATGGGTGAGAGTATGTTTCATCAGTGCTTTACATATTGTTTGACCATGGATGATATAAGCAACTGAGAATGATGACGAAGGAAGATTTAATCATTTTAAGCAACCCCATATTATCATATTTAGTTTGAGACATATATTTGTCTAACAGATCTAAAAATAATTGTTTTTCTGAGCATTTATTTCTGTCTCTTGACAAAGCAGAGGTGGGACTGGAATTGTTAAGGTCATGCATATCTATCGAATGTTATATTTAATCCAATGGGATGGGACAATATTGCATGCTTATTAGTGTTGCTGCTAGACCTGGTGTATGTGTATGCTATCATGTAGGGTGGCATCAATGTATGTATTGGCTTTAGTTAGAGTGAGAGATACGAAGCAAGAAACAAACCTGGGATACAATTGTGTAGCTTAAGCCCATGTTACCGAGACAGCATTAAGATTCGTACATATTGATTTTCCACTGCTTCCTCACTAGGGTTATAAATGAGTTTCTTATGGCATGTTTGTGCATCTTGTATGCATCCGTGCATTATTTTGGAATTTCTTGCACAAGTTGTTAAAACTATAGAATATGATATTCAGTTTCCCTAAACAGAAATTAAGTGTAGAATTCTGCATTCAAGTCATTTGTTACTAGTGCAGACATGGTTTATGGTGTTCGTAAATCTGCGGTTGGTTCGATTAGGTGCTTATTTTCTCTAAACTTCATCTTTTCAGATGCTTCCCTATGTAAGGCTGATCTACACGCTTTGGGTGGAAGAGAGTAGATAACCTTATTGTGTCCCGATCTAAGATTAACAAGTACTGATGCCCTTGAATTATAAGCTTGGTTGCAACAAAGATAAGAAAAGGAATATGATAATAAAGGAAGAATAAGTGAAATAATAAAGATAAAAAATGAATAGAAATAAAGAAAGGTTAGAGATGGCTGCGGAATTATGGAATTGATGATGGTCTTGATGAAGGATGTTGATGATGGATGATGATGAAATGGCTATGGTGATGATGTTGCATCTCAAACACGCCAAAGAGGAAACTATGCTATGAAGCAATCTCGGTCTTCACAAACTTGCTCGAGGGTGGTGATAGTGTCTTCAACCCACTAGATATCAATCTAGGAATTTGGAATCAGGATGGAATGAATGACGCCACAAGTATAGAAACTATACTTGTTTAATCGATAAAGTTCACAAAGAACTTTGAAGAGAAATAACTCACAAGAGTAATTTTTTATATGAGATGAGTACAATGAAGGCAAACACTCTATTTATAGGAAATGAGATGGCTTGGCCGAATGGTTACATAATGTTCGGCTAGATACATGACTTTAGGAAGATACATAAGCTTCAAATGAATAATTAAATCCTTTGGCTTGTGATGGTTCTGTTAACCCTTCATGAATGGGCTTGATGATTCGGCAATGATGAGGGAACATCTCCCTTGGCCGAATGGTGTTGTGTCTCCTTATGTTGGCGCCAAAAACTCTCATGTACATGGCATGTGTGTGGCCGAATAGACATGGAGCTTTTATATCATGTTCCTTGGTGATTTAAACCTCCAATGATTACAATGTCTTCATCAGCATGCTCTTGGATGTAAAGGCATCTTCATTGGCAGCATCATTCATGAAAGGTCACAATGTTTGAGAAGGGTGTTCCTTCATGTTTGAGCTACTTATGGTGTGAATGAGCTAAAGGTGAGTTGGTCATAGGTGACTTGTAGCATGGTGAATATTATGGCAGCTTTGTGTGAAAAGGTACCTCTTGAGTTGGCAACTATTCGCGAAAAGTATGATTTCACAAATTTTGACTTAGGACATATTTAAGCGTCCTAAGTGGTGATGATGATGGTGCAGCTCCCCAGCTGAAATGAGGTCATCTTGTAGCTCAAATCTTCAGCTCAATCCATCTATGAGCTCACGGCCTCTAGACAACTTCTCACCAATTTGATCCTTATGCTCTCTTAATCGTTCCCATGTAAGTATCCTTGCTGTTGCATACTCCATTTAGCTCCAATGTAACTCCCAAGTATTGGCCGAATGTGCCTACATGCATAACATAAAGAAATAAACTAAGTAAATGAACTTATATAATGTATAATATAAGATGTGAACTATAGTATATAATAAATCTCTATATTACTGATTAAGTTATTATAATAACCATAGTAGATATTATATGTATGAAAATAACTATGAATAAATATATATGTGTGTAGAGTTAGAAAGTTTCTTCCTTGTAAGGGTGGAATAGACTTGGTAAACATGACGCTGAATTGGATCACATCATCCTCCCTTCTTTTATTCGATTTTTCCTTAAATCGAAAAATCTTCTTTTCCTTGAGTCTTTCCATTCGTTATGTACCCTTATGAAAAGGTTCATATTTGAAAGAATGCCTTGTAAGTTCTTGATCTGAAATTGTTTCATAGTATGAATGTGATCAAACAAAATTAAAGTTAAGAATTTTTTTTTGAAAAATGTAGATTCAAAGTTCATGTCTATTGAAGACATTTGGCTTTGAATGTTGGTTCCTTTTGTATTCCAAAAATCATGCTCCTTTCCATAGATAGATGCATTGATTCATGAATGGTGATAACTCTTGGAATGGTGATGTCCTCATAAGTCACGCCCTTGGATGTAAAATCATTTCCCTTTGGTTTTCAATAGGCATGACTCTTGATTCTTGATGGATCACGTCCTTTGGATGAAGAGTTACCATTCTTTGCTCTTCAATAGTCACAACTTTTGGCTTTTGAAAAGTCATATCCTTAGTTCACCAAATTGATGGATTGTGTAGCTTGGTTCATCTTGCAAATCAAAGGAAATTCTTGCATTGTTAAGGTTAGAAAATCATCATCAATTTTGCGTCTTGTCAATAGACATCTTTGTAACAAGCAGTTAGATGTACAAGCACTTGTTTTTGGGTTGGTTTCCTCCTCTATTAACTTCAATTTTCCTTCCTCATGGCCTCAACACTTTGTTTCTTGATTTGATCAATTTGGACTTGTTTAGGCGTCAAGGGTGTTAGGATGATTCTTCCCTCCATGGTTGAATGAATACTGATTGGTAAAACAATCATGAATGGTCCCTATCATATTGCCATTGTCTTCCAAGGAGTAAATGGCTAGCATGCATAGGAACAACATCACACATAACTGATCCTTGTATTACCAATAGAGAAAGGAATCACCTGTTTGTTGACATTAAGTTCTCATCTTTCATTTAACCATTGTAATTTGTAGGGGTTTCGATGCTTTAACGTTTTTAATCCCAATTCTCCACCATAATGGTACTTGCCACGTTGGTACAACTTCCACCGTCTATGATCATGAAACACCTTTTCATTCACATGGCAGCGGTTATGAAAGATGTTCCCGTTGGCATGTCTTCTACCACTTGAGAGACTCTTTTGACCACTAAGGCTTCACCTTCTATTGGGGCACCAATTTCAGCTTCTTCTCAACTTCTGTTGGTGGCGGTGGCGCTTCTTCTTCTTTTTCTTCATGGTCTGATTTAATCTCACCATTTTCAAGTAGTAGCATGGTGTTTCGGTTGGGACATTGTGTGGATCATGCCCCATCCCAAGACATTTAAAGCAAAGGATGCTCT